TAATTTTTATATTCATTATATTAGATAGAAAATTTGGTATTTTCTCAGAATTCTTCAAGTTTTACATCAGACATTAGTAATAAGACTGTGTAAAAATTACAATTAGTCTTTCACAACGACAAAGTCATTACAACGTTCATGTTTACTGTTATTTTTACTGTAATCTATTCCTCCTTCTTGATTAGAATCAGATCGATATCAAGACGCGAAATCAGTGGAATAATACTAACAACGTACATACACGCGCGAATATTACAAAAATCAAGCAGGCAAGCGTATTGCAGAATACGAACGTCATTGGTTGCTCGCTCAAGCCTCAAGAAGAATTTGCCTTAGCGATAATTATGAGTCACACGCGAGAGACCCACGGCACTCGCGGGAGATTTTTTAATGAGAGACATGTCACTGTTAATAGCCCCTTCTCAGTGCCTGGTTACACCGGCGACAATAGTTGTTGCTCACTGCAGTCAATCGCACTTCACATTCCCGCTGTAGAAGGTCCAGCAGGAACGAGGATTTTTCTGCAGTTTCCCGGAAGTCTCAGGATACGCGGAAGCATGGTGTTCGCGTGACAATCTTGTTGGAACCGGAGAAAGGTCGAATTCCTTGCGGTTTGCCTTGGCAGATTAATTGGGCAGATAATCTTCGAAAGTATCTAACTAATTTAACATTACAAAATAATATAAATTTAATAAAAGTAAATATGAATTTAAATATTATCTTATGTCAATTGTAAATTTTAATTATATTTTCTTATCTATATAATTTATGTATGAATGTATATATACAAATTAATAAAACCGAAAGTAAATAATGTTAGTGGATAAATGAATCAAGTTTATTATTCAGATTATTTATTCAGATCGGTCAGGAGTTTTTTTTTTACAAGATTTTGCCTTTTGCCTTCGTAATTTATTCGGTAAGAGCGACTTTTGGTATTGCGGATAAAAAAGGCGCATTACTTTCGGCGATCGACGTGTATGCACAAGGTAACGTAACAAACGACGGACCTGATCCTGTGTCGCGCTTACGTAAGATGCAGATCTTGATATAAGTGCGGTACGGTTGCAGTTTTCACCGGTCGAGTCGCCAGAAAGTGAGAGTCACAATAATGGGATTTGTAAAACCTTGTAATTTTTATAATCATATTAAAAAATTGATTATAGAGAAGAAGAGAAACGAGAGGGAATGAGAGAGAGAGAGAGAGAGAGAGAGAGAGAGAGAGAGAGAGAGAGAGAGGGAGGGGGGGAGAGAGAGAAGCCAAAAATTCTAAGAAACTTATAACAATCTTCATAAAATTGAAAAATGTATATAAAAATTTACGCAAAAATGGCAGTTAAAATTCGTTTTGAATAAGATTTTTCTTCGCTTATTTATATCATATTAATCATACATTAATTAATTTTAATTTGTTACAATTTATAAAGTTGATAAAAAAAAATCAGAGATGTTGATAAACAAAAGCTCGCTACAATCAGCCAAATCAAGAATTGAAATGATAAAGAAATTCATAGATGCACTATTCTCTGTCGTAGATTTGTGAAAATTCATAATTTTTTTATTTGTTTTACAATTAGAAAAATGTATATGTATATGTATGAATAAAATATATGGAAGCGTGGATTGATACCATATTATATTATGTGTAAGCGTGATTAATAAAATACTTACATAATATACAAAAATCTCTCGAGGAAAATTTTATAATAGTCTTTTCTTTTACTTCCTTTTTAGAAACTATTACTGTTCTTTTTTTACTCCGTTTTTCTTCTTTTAACGGTCTTTCTCCGCTCGAGCAATGTTCCTTTGTTTTTTGATGTGACGTGTAATGTCGGATACGCCATTATATATATTCTGTTGCAATGATGCAACTGCAACGACTTCACGCATTCTTCGCAAGGACTCCGAGAGCGGGGCGTGGCTGCGATCGACCAACCGATCGGCTTATCTCTCACGAGGAATCGCACGTACGCACGTGTACGCATGCTTATTTTCGGCGTGATCTGTTTTTAGCCAAGAGAAAAATAATGTTACACACACTCGGCGAAATTGTGTCGCGTAACGAGGCACTTTAAAGTCATAACCGAGAAGAGTGCATTTCGAAAAACAAGAAATGTTGTCGTTTTATATAATATTTGGATGAGTTACATTACATTTCTCCATGTAATAAAGGAACATGTGAAATCATAGAATATATCTTTTTGAATTTTTTTCAGTTCAATAAAGAATGGCGTAAAATGTAATTAAAATTTTTAATAATAATAATTATATGAGAGAAGTTGTTAATATTAAAAAATTAAATATATGCTTATATTTGATATTAGATCACAATTTTTCCTAATATTAATATTTTTGGTTACGTAAATGGCGTTCAACATAAGTGACATTCAAACGAGAATATATTTAATTTTCAGAGGAACGAAAAGCAAAGAAAATAATCGCAAGCAATTCTGAAAAAAGAACAAGTCTATAGAATTATATAATTATCGATAAATCGGTATATATAAGCATATAAATGTGCAACAAGCAAGTTATACGAGTTACGGACGATGTTTTCAACCCCAGAACGAATCAAAACGAATCATATAAAATATTGCTCGCAGCTTGCTAAGGTTTTTCTATAAAAAGAGATGACGCGATGTGGCATCACCGTTCTAAAATTTATAATCGCCTGCCAGTTCGCACGGTGTTTCCCGAGAGCTTAGACGTAAAATATAAAACGTTATGCGTTTGCGCGCGTATTTTTCTGATAGATATTTTTCTGCACAAACACCTGAGTACTAAATTTGCAATTTTGTATCCACTTAATCTACTTAATATATAAACAATTAATATTTCTATTTCAATCAGTTGATATAGTACAAATAAATCGTATTGGTGACGATGGTGGGAAGTTCTATGAAGTTAGCAGCAATCTCACGATTCAATTGATTTCAATATTGAGATTCAAAATTATATATATTCGAACATGCTGATTAATATTTGATATTGAGTATTGATATAATATTAACATCAATATTAATGTTAGTAATAAATGTTTCAACGTATCTTTTAATCACAGTTTATATTATTCCAATTAATATCACGCGCCAGCGACGTGACGCGCGAAACGATCACGTGATTGACGATGACAAAATTTTCTACGTCGCCGATTAGTTCGCGTCCTTGGTGATTAGGTGAGTTGTGCGGTCACTAGTGTTTGTCTCTCGCATTTATTTGTAATTCCGGGAATACCGAATCTTTGTCTGGCGGAGACGGATAATTATTTCAACGTGAGCCGGTTCACGATCGTCGCGATCGTTTAATAATCTTTGCTTCGTGTTGCTATATCTACATATTTTCCATGTTCTTCCGTATGCTTCATCGTCTTGGATCTTGTTTCCGCAATCGCGCCTGTCTCGTTTATCACATGTATTGTCCAGTACTGAAAGCAGCGTCGAGGAGCATTGTAAAGTATCGTGTGGATGAGAGATGTATGTACAAAAAGGGATCGTTTATTTAGATTTTGTGTTATCTCCCTTGTTCACCATAATCACACTAGAGGTCTAGTTCTCACTTAAACCCTCAATATTCGGTTTCACTTGAGTGGAGATCAAATTTAAGAGTTTTTCATTATCTGGTTAACTTGTGATTTATTTAGTTATACTTGATGATAATGTAAATATTATGTTTTTCTAGCTATGATTAATTACTGAAGGTTTTGTAATGATAACTTAAGTTATTTCATTATGAAACTATCAGTAATTAATCATATCTTATTAATCAGATAGAAAAGCAATTTTGTATATTCATCAGGTTATATTCAGCCTTTATATACTCGTACATAAAGACCGAAGCATAGATTTATTTGTATAACGCATAATATATAAAACATAAGAAAATTAATTAATTAAAGTTCTTTAAGTTTATGAACGGAGAGACTTTAATTGGTTGATTCTTTTGTATTGTATGCGTTATGCAAAGGTATTTGTATTTTTTGTTCTAAATCTAACCAAGTTAGATCAAATCAGCAAATGAAAAAAAATCGGTTAATTAAATGTGTTAGTTATTTCTATTAGAAAGTAGAGACTTTGTGAATTGTGAAATAAGAATGATACAATGAAATCAGTGAAATAAATAAATCAAACGCATTGCTATCGATTTAAATTTGGTTCTATGCTGCATTCGGTGAAAACTAGAGTATTATAATTATAATTAGTAGTATTTGAGCTGTTTCAAAATTTACTGTCAGTGCTAAAATCTATAATGTAAACTTAGCTTTTCATTACTAGCAGTCAATTTTGAAATACAGTTATAATCGTTTCTTAAAATTTTGCAAAACCGATCAAGGACGCGAAGTCGGCGAAATGTTGTGGAAATCGATCCACGGCCGACAAGTTGCGTCAGTAGAGAAATCAGCTTTGCAACTCTTATAAAATTCTTTATGATTGGTTTTGCCTTTAGTTCCTCAGATCTAAATGTATAAATCAATCATATTGAAAAATTTTACAGTTACAGAGTTACTTTTTCTACTGAACGCAGCAAATGCAATTCAGTGCCAGATATCGATTCTTTTAATCATGTCATTTTTTTGGATGCGTTCCAAAACTGTCAACTCCGATCTTCTATCCTTGTTCAACATTCGGTGAACAACAAAGATAAAATGATACTCGGATTGACAGAGTCGAGTTTTGGGACTCAACCTTGAGAACCTACTTTGTCAGAAAAATTTGTTCGCATTCAGGAATGCCGGAATACATAAGGTAGTCTTTTTAATGTTGATTCATGAGTTGACACATGTTATCGCGATTACGCGTGTTCTCTCGGAATTGATATCAATCGAACGATATTATATCTTTATGTGTATTGTGTTCTGTATTAATTTGCGTACGATTATATTTTGCAAGTGCATCGGTAAAGAAGGTATATCAAGGATTATCGAAGGATCAGAATCAGTAGTTCCTGTTCATTTGCATCAGTTTCAGCAATCGATGAATGGTCAATTTTTTTGTACTCTAACTCGAAACCTTTCTGGAATGCCAGAAAATAAATATTTGCAAAACATCGATTGTCGTTCGATTGTTGTATTTAAAGATTACAAATTTTCGTAATAAATATAGGTATTCATTTTTTGAAAGAATTATAAATTAACTAATAAAATTATTCATGTACTATTTATTTTAATTATTATTATAAATTCCAAATTTATATTTTTCTTGAATTTTTTAAAAATAAGAAACAGTTACTGTTTAATTTTTATTAATTTTTATTATTATTATGTGCATGTAACTATAATACAAAAATAGATATATCGCGAAAATTACTTCTTGTCTTCTTTAGTCGAGTACTTTTTAGAGATTTAAGGATTAATTGTTTCGTAAATATTTCTAATGATGAAGAAACGGAAATATATAAGATAAGTAAAAAATGAGGAAGATGAGAGAGAGAGAGAGAAAAAGAATGCGAAATATCTGTGCAATAAACCTTATTAAAAAAAATAATAGTATAATAAAAAAATTAAATCTTCAAAAATCAAAAGTTATTATTCTGAAAAGAAAGAATTAAGAATTTTATCAAAAATTGAGACATTTATTTGCTAAATAAATGGATTAAATGGATTAAATAAATGGATTATTCTCGCGACAGTGCTAACAAACGCGTCAATATATTCACGCAATAAAAATATATTCACACAAATTAAGCTTACGAAAGAATGAATTACCGTCAACGGTTAAACATGACAACAAGCGTTAAATATGCTCGATCAGCGTGGAAATATATGTTAGGCTTTAACATGGATCGCGTTGTCGGCGCTCGATTGAAAGTTACTGTTGCATAATGTTGGGAAAATTCAATTGAACGTCTCGCAAATGTGGCATTGCGTGCCTTAAGTATCGCCTATCTTGCGACAAGTATTATACGCGTCGTTCATTACGTTATACGGTAACGGGAAAATTATTACGGTGAATTATTGCGAATCGGTATTGCTCTCGAATTCCTCTCTACTATGTAGCAATAATCTACACTCGCGCGTTTTCGGAAATGAGACTGGTAATTATTCATAAAAGGCATTTCGTAATCATTCGTAATTATTCATAAAAATTGAGAGGCTGTGTTTGCGAACGAAATACACCCCGGATAATTGGTTGTACAGTTTGAAAAATATTATCGTAAAGCGCGCATACTAGGTATAACCGTATTTTATCGTTTAGAATGCAATAGATTTATTAAAATTAAATTGTTATATATTATTTAATAAGTAATATATATTACGTATAGAGAGAACGA